AACCATACACAGATAAAAGATGTGAAACGTGCTGCTCTTGGATCCCAATGGTTCCAGAAGATGGTGGAAGCTGTGGAGGAGGGATAAGTAGACTTTCATCTTCAAATTCAAAATCCCGGTCCAGAACAGATTCAGATGAATCACTGGAAGAATCAACATCAACTTCTACTTCTCCATCGTCATTTTCAATTATATGCTCACTGCTTAACTTACTGGATACAGATGCTTCAACCGGATCCACTTTTTCAGTGATGTCTGTGGTGTTCTTTCCCGTCACATTTGTATTCTTCGCACTAAACCTAACTGCTAACTCATCCAAACGCTTCTTTCTCTTATTCAAACCATCGTCAAGATAAGGATCGTCAATTAACAACCCCCGAATTTCCCTACTCTCTAAATCCTCATTATCGCCATCCTCGTAAACTACTCTGTATAGTCCTTCCTCGTAATACACAACTTTTCCAAGATACTTTCCACTGCCCTTGAACTCTTTCAGCAGATATCGTCCCAGTAAAGCCACGGGGCGCGACACGAGGGTCCGCTTGCATGATTCCAGACCCGATTTCGCTTCATCGGTACCATCCTCAAGTTCATTGTTCCTCCTTTTCCTCGGTCTACCCCTCGATCTAACTACCGGAGGTTCCATTGAAGTATCGACACAAATGAAAACCCGAAACCTAAATCCAGACACTGTTCAGAGCAATATCTAGGGTTTCAAAACTGTCTAACTGAAATATTGCCTTGGAGAGGCATTCAAACCTAGGGACGAAGAAGTCCTGCAAAACATTGAACAAAATCAAAATCAATGAAGGAACAATAAATGCCTTGTGCAGATTCGAGAAGTTCCAATAGTCGAGGCATAAATTCAGAGTTTCAATCCGAAAAAGCAGATACACGACATTAGCTAAAGTGATGCCTTGTGACCAAGCGATAAAGCACGGAGAGCAAAGTTGCTAGGGTTTCATAACCGCCATTGATAATGGCTCTGAGACCTCTCAAGAGGAGAGAGAGAGAGAGAGAAAGAGAAAGGGAGGTAAGGAGACCACCCAGAAGGTGTAAATTACACATCTAACCCGCTTTCCTTTCAACGAGTTGGCGCGTTTAAACGAGTCACGACTCGAAATTATCAAATTCATAAATTAAATATAAATATACAAAATATAAATATATTTTTATATTTTATATTTTATATAATGCTCGCTTTTACCTTTTTGCCATTTCTTTTTTTCAAATTTACCAAACTGCCCATAAATATAATAAATGTCCTAATTTTTTTTATTTTTCCACAAATTTTCATTTAAGAAATATTTTTATAGGTTTTTCTTTGAAATTTAGGTGCCGATCATTCTACAGAGCTGATGAACGCGTTGCCGCGCTTCGACACAGAGAGCGGGGAGCAGAGCCGTCAATTCCTCGGTGCTGGATCTCCAAGGGGGGTGGATTGTGAGATCCCATAACGGTTGGAGAGGAGAACGAAGTATTCCTTATAAGAGTATAGAAACCTCTCCTTAACAGACACGTTTTAAAACCTTGAGGGAAGTCCTTGAAGGGAAAGCCCAAAAAGGACAATATCTGCTAGCGGTGAGCTTGGGTTGTTACAACAACACTTTACCGAGTTCTTCTTTTTTTTCTCTACCATGTTTCCACTTCAATATCTAATGGCAATACGTAATGGGCCAAAGCAGACAATATTTGTTAGCGGTAGACTTGGACTGTTACAAATCGTATCATCAGAACTAGACACCTGACGATGTGCTAGCGAGGACGCTGGCCCTCAAGAGAGTGGATTGTGAGATCTCACATCGGTTGGAGAGGGCAACGAAGCATTCTTTATAAGGGTGTGGAAACCTCTCTATAGTAGACACGTTTTAAAATTATAAAGTTGACGACGATACTTAACAGGCCAAAATAGACAATATTTACCAGCGGTGGACTTGAATTATTAAACCTAGAAATCGTAAAACTAAGATGAATATTCAAACTTTTTGTCGCTCTTTTCCTTAAATCTGTTCCCATGTTTCTTGGTTGAAGATGTCAGTCAGGTTGTGGATGTTCTTACAGTTGTCTTCTAGTATCTAGCCCAAGCCCTATAATACGAGATCTCTCCTAAATTTTGCAAATTTTGTTTTGGTCAGACATATCAAAGAGAACAATATCTGCTAGCGGTGGATTTGGACCTTTATAAATAGTATCAGAGCCAGACACGTGCGATGTGTAAGCGAGGAGGCTGAACCTTGAAAGGGGGTCACGAGGCAGTGTGCCAGCAAAGACATTTGGCTCCAAAGGGGGTGGATTGGAGGATCCTAATCAATTGAGGTTGGAAATGAGTGCCAGTAAGACCGCTGAGTCCCAAATGGGAGCGGATTATGAGATCTCACATCGGTTGAGGAGGAGAACAAAGCATTCTTTATAAGGGTATGAAAACTTCTCCCTAACAAACGCATTTTAAAAACGTTGAGGAAAGAATTACTACAAAGTGTTTGATATTATAAGAATAACTTTCTTTTATATACTTTGAACGTCACGATTCTTATTTTTAGTTTTTTTCTTTATATTCATTATTGTATACATTTTTTGGGACATGATAGTCTTGTATCCATTAAGTTTATGAGTTAGGGTGGTTGTGTAGTGTACAGTGCAATCCGTCAACCTGTTTATGTGACTCGAGATGGTCTTTGCTTCTCTTTTACTTTGTACTTAAATTAGCTACTAGATGGTTTCATCCGTCGTTCCCTTTTATATCTAAATCGATAGAACTTGCTCACGAGCTCCAATTGTCCCAAGAGAAACTTTAAAGGGAACTAACTACTAGATGGATAGTTTTATCTGTCGTCCCCGTTATACCTAAATAGATAGATCTTTCTCTGAGGCTTCAATTATCTCATGAGATGGTTTCATCCGTTGTTCCCTTTTATACCTAGATCAACAGAACTAGCTCAAAGGGAACTAGCCACTCGATGGTTCCATCCTTCGTTCCTCTTTATATCTAAATCGATAAAACTTGCTCACGAGCTCCAATTATTCCAAGAAAAAAATTTAAACGGAACTAGCCACTAGATGGTTTCATCCGCCGCTACCCATTATACTTGGATCAATAGAACTGACTCACGAGCTCCAGTTATTCCAAGATAAACTTTAAGAGAACAAGCCTTTGGATATTTCATCTGTCGTCCCTTTATAATAAATGGAGGTTTGTCGAATTTTCAAGTCAGCATTTTCAAACTTAGTCGGATCTAAATAGGTTGATATATTAATAAAATAAACATAATCTTTTTCTAAAATGTAGGTTGGATATGACCAACCTCCTCATATAGAAATAATAAACACATTAAAGGGAATATTACAAGCAACAATTTAAATATTGGACTATTTTACTTCCAATTTTTAAAGAAACAATAAATAGTTTATAAACATTTTATAATATCCTATTAGCTGTAAATTTTGATTTGTAGGATAATATTAAAATTTAAATACAAACAAATATAATTTCATTCATTTTATAAATGTTCAGATTCGATGACAACGGTAATGATATAAAATTCTTACCTATTATAGGTTGATACAGCGGTACTTGACACATGGTCGACAGTTAGATGTTTGACTCCTTTCAACTTTCTTGACACATGGTCAACAGTTAGACGTGTTGTTAAACTAAAAAATTAAAAAATTAAAAATTACGATCACCCTGAACCTACCAAAAAAAGGTTAAAAACTCGGTTTCATAGCCGCTCAAACACTATGAACGGAAAAACCATAACTAAAACACACAAATATTGAAAAATAAATATTTCAATATAGTTATAATTTATTAACTTCTTATATATGTTAAATGTTAAAATTTAAAATTTCGTTACGATTTAATAAAATCTCAGGATAGTTACTATATAAAGATAAATTTTTATATTTAAAATTATACCGACTAAATTTTAATTTTTTTTAAATTATAAGAAAAAAAATCAACAAAACTATGTGCAAAAACCGCGGCACAAAGTAACGTGTATGCATATATCACGGGTGGTATCGTCGTATGCTCGACATTTGTTGTCCTGCCCGGAGCGAAATGTCCGCTCCCGGCATGTGAATGAATGACCTAATCCAAACTAACCAAAAAAGTTAGTAATTTGACTAAAAAATTAAAAAAATTTAATTAATACCCTCCGCAATTTATAGAATTTCAAATATTTTTATTTTTGTTAAAAAAAAAATATTTATATTAGAAGAAAATAAACTATATATATTAAAACTCATCAACATCTGTTTAGATAAGTGGATTATTTTACTTTTGATTTAAGCTAATAATAATTATTAAATTTGACATGAAAAAGATTTTAATTCAAATAATGAGTATTTATTATTAAATTTGACATGAAAAAGGTTTTAATTAAAATAATGAGTATTTTTTTTAGAGATTAAAATTTTAATTTACTATAGTATTAAAAAATAAATAGTAATTATTATGTTATTATTATTACTAAAAATTATTGATAAATAGGTGCATTATTTTGTATGATTTAGTAATAACTTAAAAATATTTATAGAGTATAAACAAGTAAATTATTAAATAATAATGAAAATTTGAGTTAAATTACTAATTTAGTTTTTGGAAAATATAGAAACTCATTTTAAATGTGAATTATTTCTAGATTATTATTTCGTCAAATTTACGAAAAAAAATAAATAAATTTTAACTTTATCTCGACCATAAGCATTAATTTTATAATTTAATTGCAAAATTTTTCCTATATATATTTATCCTATGATTTTTTTTTTGGCAAAATAATATATATTTACGTCAGCAAATTTGATAGTTTATACCATTTCAATTTTCAACGACATTTTTTATTTTTTTATTTTTTTGTACAAATTGTATTAAGATTAAAAAAAAAAAATCTGAATTAAAATTGTGATTTGAAATTATTTATATAATTCCAAATAATTATTATTTAGCTTTAAAATCACTATTATTTAAAACCTACCAAATAAAGAAAATTGATTTTAAAATGCTCGCCCTTACAAATCCGAAGGTACAGAGCATTCGTGAAGAGGTATTTTCGATGGAGGATCAAAATCTCACGGCGGAAAGCGAATCGCTTACGGACCTGAAAAGCACTACGACCGAGATAAATGGGGCGTCGGACGACGAAGACACGTCGATCGGGAACAGCGGAATCGTCGGCGAAGGGCATCTTGAAGAATTGTCCAGCGGTGAGGTGATTTCGAAGAAAAAGAGAAGAGGAAGGCCGAGGAGAAAAGCAGCCATCGACCTGGAGAAGCCATCATCGCCGTCATCGCAGGGGAGCCTCTCGTCGTCCGCCAATTCACGAAACACTTCGAAACGCCGCCTTGGGCGGCCGCCTGGTAGTGGTAGGTTGCAACTTCTCGCATCTTTAGGTACGCTAGGTTTCAACTCTCGATTCCGTCAATCGGTTTTTCTTTTTCAGTGCGTAACGCGCCGCCGCCGTGAAAATCGCACGTAACCGTCAGTTGTTTCTTTTCGTTTCTTGGATTAGGTCGTTCTCTATATTCTTGTTGATTTTTTTTTTTTTTCTCTTTCAACGGAATATATATATATATATATATATATATATATATATATATATATATATATATATTTTTTAAGAGAAAATTCTATTATTATTTATATAAACTAAGTATTTCTTCTTTTTCCTTTTTTAAACTGAACGGAATCGTAAAGTATTTTTGTTTTAAATTTTTTTATTATTCTTTTTGCGACCATGTTTTCTTTTTTAAAAATAAACTCAATTTTTGTTTCAAAACAATTTTATTATTTTAAAAAACATATAAATACTTTTTTATTTTTTAATATAAATAGCCCAATACTTCTTATTTAACTAATTTAATATTAAATTCAAGTACCGAATAAAAAAGTTCAACATCTATTAGAAACCTTTTAAAATTAAATAATATTCCAAAAAAAAAAAGATTATGAATTTTAAATTTCAGAATTCATTTTTAGGTTAATGAAAATCAAGTTTTTTTTTTCATTTTCTGTTTAATATTGAGTCGAACCTTGGACTCAGAACGGGGTTATCGAGATGTTTGAAATCTGTGAAGGTTAATTTTGTTTTGAAATTATTATATTTATTAATAGTCTCGAATATATTTGAAGGTGGTTTTGCTTGGGACACTGCCGGCGGAAGTTTTACCCCCCACATCCTCCATATTCCAAAAGGAGAGGTAAGGAATAAATATGTATAACTCATGATTTAATTCGTAAGCTATGAAAGTTTATTGCATTTAATTATTAATAAAGATATGATATGTAATTAGTTTTATAAGTTTGTGTCAATTTGAGCATTGTTGAATGAATTTGATACTAGTTATGATCATAGAAGCTGATAGTTTAATATGTATAATCATTCATTTGCTTTAATCAAAATCAAACCGTCACATAGACTCTGAGTATAATTTGTTGAGGATGGTTGGGAGGGAGTTGAATTAAATAGATGATCATGGGTTTATAAGAACGAATACATAACAAAAAATAAAGTCACGAGAGCATATGCTCAAAGTGGACAATATCATACCATTAGGAAGAGTCGTGTGATTATGCATGTAGAGTAATTAAGTGTTAAATGTGTGCAGGATATTGTGAAGGGTCTATCAAGATTCTCAAAGAAAGGTCCTCGAGCAATCTGCATAATTTCTGCTGTTGGTTCAGTTTCGAGCGTTCATCTCCGCCAAGTTGATGCGGAGCCCAACACCACACAGAAATTCCAGGTTTGTTTATGACGAAACTATTATTTGGTGGATGAAATAGAGTGTGATGTACCACATTAGTTGGAGAGGAGAACAAAACACTCCTCATAAGGGTGTGGAAACTTTTCCCTAGTAGATGCGTTTTAAAGTCTTAAGGGGAAGCCCGAAAGGGAAAGTCCAAAGAGGACAATATTTTGTAGCGGTGGATTTGAGTCGGAGATTAAAACACTTTATATTTATGGATATGAATGTGAATGTGCAGGGAATGTTTGAGATTCTGCGCATAACAGGGTCGTTTGTGGGACAAATGAACGGTAAACGCACTAAAGTGGGACAGGTTTCCATTTCACTCGCTCATCCTGACGGGCGAGTTTTTGGGGGCGTCGTTGCTTCTGCACTCATAGCAGCCACCCCCATTCAGGTATCGCTCATTTCTTTTCAAATTTGAAAACCTTATTGCATCTTTAACATTTTAAGATTATATTTGCAACTGTACTAATTCGAGTGAATGTCGAGATTAGTCGCTCGAAAAAAAACTCGACTTTGTAGTAATTCAATTCAATTCTTGTCAGTATACCATCGTCTCATATGAATTTGATTGTCTATAATAACATGAACAATAGAAAGTTGGAATGTACTTCTGATTAAATATAATTGTTACCCATATAATCTGATTTGGTACCTGTGTTACATCATGATGAATCTTTTCAAATTATCATAATACTAATCAAATATCTTTAATATTGTATCATACCCTTGATTTTAATTTGAGATCCATGTGCTGATAGATTGTTGTGGCAAGCTTTAAGCAAAAAATTAGCCCTGCAGTTAAAAGGATGCACACACCAGCTCACAACAGCCAGTCCTCAGGTATTATTATTATTATTATTATTATTATTATTATTATTAAATTTCATTTTGCATCTTATCTGTTTGTAAATTTTTTTTAAAAAAATGTTGAATATATTCCTTGGAATAACAGCAGGCACTGATGAAGAAGAAGTATGTGATGCTCCGGGTACCCCGCAGCACTAAACCACCAAAACGACACCGTTTCTTCAGCAGTTAGCAGTCTTCACCTCCAGAGGTTACATGTACTTCTCTACCTCTTCTTATCTCACACAGTCAGTCGCACACAGTGTTTGAATATTAGAAAAATCTTAGCAAAACTTCCTCTGGTGGTGATTTTATAAGAACTGTTTATCAATTTCTAGAGTTCATCTTTTACTTTCTATGTTGATAATTTCTCAATTTCACCCAACTTTGCATAATATTTATTGCATATCATTTAGAAAAAGAAAAGAAAAGAAAAAAAAAAGTAGCTCCAGCTTCATGGGCTTTTGAACCGATTGGATAAACTTTGGGCCTTGGACTGGATCATCAAGGCACACGTACTTTTCGTGTATGAATCGAGGTTTGAAACCAAACTTCTCCTCAGGAGGATAGATTAGTCGATTTAGGTGAGATCCAATGTAGATCCAACTTTTTATTCACTCATGGGATTTGGGCGGTCTGGGGGGACCATCTCGGCTCCTCTCTTCTCGAGAATCCATACATCCCTTATTAGTATATGGACAGCTATCTGTCGAGCACAGGTTTAGGTTCGGACTCAATGGAAAAATAAAACAGAGCAAGTCCATTGGCATTTAGTAGTTAATGTTGGTCGAACACGACTCTCCACAATGGTATAATATTGTCTACTTTGAGGGTAAACTCTCACGACTTTGCTTTGGACTTCCCCAAAAGACTTCGTACCAATGGAGTTAGTATTCCTCGCTTATAAACCCACGACCATTCCCTAAATTAGCCGAGGTGGGACTTTCATCATCCAACGCTTAGAAAGAAGACCAAATGAAGGAACAAAAATGGGGTTTGGATTTGATTGAGCTTTTTTTAACCAAACCAAAAGAATATGAACAATAAGGAAGAAGGATTAGAATATGGTGATGATTCCAGCGGTAGTTTTACCCCATTTATTACCAAACAAACTGACAAACACTCATATGAAAAGCCCAACTTGGGATCTTTTTCTTTCTTTCTTTCTTCTCTTTACTCTTTCCATGGAGATTAGATGAAGAATATGTAGCCCAGAAGTTACCCCCAAAATGGATGCAATATATATATATATATATATATATATATATATATATATTGATGAGTATGGTACAAGTGGGGTGTGCTAAAATTATTCCAATCTTAAATAGCAATCCATAAGTTAAATGGGTTGCATAGATGAATGTGTGTATATATATATACATATTATATTCTCCCTTTTTTTGACTTTGGTACAAGTGGGGTGGGGGAAAATTATTCCAATCTTAATTAGCAACCCATCTCTCTTCAAATATATTCATCAAACTCCCTCATTATTTTCATTTAATATTCAATTTTTATCTCTTTTATGTTACCACCTTTTAAGCCTCTCAACTTTACCTTAAAAAAAAATTATTCTAATTATTGACTTTATTTATTAATGATTTATCAGAAAAAAAAAAAAAATTAAAGTTGTGTGTTTGCAACCCAATTTGTAACTAAGGGGCCTATGGCATGTGACTTTAAATTCTTATCTCCTTAGACTTCTAAATGAAGTCATTATGCTTCAAATTTTATAAAGTTAAAAAAAGATTCCTCATTTAGAAAATATATATATATATATGGTTATTTTTTAATAATATTTATTACAAAATCTTATTTTTCAAAAAAACAATTATCTCAATAATTGAAAAATTAATTAAGAATATGCTTTATATATATATTTATCAAAATGAGTTGTAATAGAAGACAGAAAATGTGTTAGAGGATCACTATCAAAATGCCCTCTATTATCATATTTTATATATATATATATATAAATTTTGTATAAAATAAAATATTGAAGAACCGACAGTCGTTGGCTTAAATAAATGCGTAAATATATATATTTTTTAAAAAAATAATAAGAAAGGGCTATACTTTCTTTTGAATTATTAAATACAACTTTCACATCACATGTTTTCTCCCACAAACACATAATTAATATTGCCTATGTACTATTTAACATTATTATTATTTTCCATAAAATAAGTCTACATTTTTTCTCAATTAAATTTTTAAAAAATCTTCAATTTAAATCTATGTTTTTTTTTTTAATTTCAAAAAATCATTTTCACGAGTGAACTTAATTCTATACATTTAAATATGATTTAATTATAATTTTCATATCTCATAGATTCAGATGCCATGTTTATAACCTTTTTTTAATAAAATAATTAAAATTAAATCATTTTCTAAATTAAAGTTGCATAGAGAATATATCGGATTGTAAAATATTTACATATTAAAATATTACTTTTTTTTTTTCTTCTTCTTCCAATCAGTTAATTATTAAATAATTGCCAGCTGTGCTTCTTTTGGGCGGGTCAGAATCTTCACTCTTATTGCCACATCAACCTAGTTAGTTGTTGAAATAAATAATTTCATAATCACGAGATTCACTTTTGCCTTTTTACCATCACTTTTTAATTATCTTATGCTTTACAATTGTTTTCCATTTATTATTCCTATAACCTATGTTTTTTATTTATCCATTTTTTCCTTTCGTAAAGTTACCGGTGCATCGTTTTGTTGAATGAAAATCCCACATCGACTAATTTAGAGAATAATCATTGGTTTATAATCAAGGAATACTATCTCCATTAGTATGAGGTCCTTTGGAAAAACCCAAAGCAAAATCACGAGAGCTTATGCTCGTGGGCAATATCATACCATTGTAGTGAGTCGTGTTCATATCAACATTTTCAGCATAAGCTCTCACGACTTTACTCTTATCTTTATATACCTACGATCTTTAATGTTGTAGTATTTGTGCTAAATGATTGAAGCCTCTATTCATAGGTGAAGAGTTTGGTAGGTATTGAATCACTTTGAATGTGAGATATCTGGTTAGAGTTATGATGAATATCATAAGCTATTGAGAATTATAGGCTATCATTGTCAAATAAGAGGCCTCTTTCTCGAGACTAGTCACGAATTAAAAATTTAATAACTTAAAGAACAAACTAAGCTCCTCTCCTCGTGTACGTTAATGTGAATACATTCACGACATTACATAACTTGCTCGAACAAACTTAGATGCTACCAAATTAGCTTAACCGAGTTCCAATTTTACAAATTTAACCTTCATAGATTTAATTCGGAAGTGAAGCAATTTTCATTTATTTTGATATTTAGATCAAAATAAATCGTGGGTCTATCAAAAAATGAGAATAAAATGAAATTAAATATAAATAAATTTGATATACTATTTAATTAATTGTAATACATATTTTCGACTTATATTGTAATGTCCCATATTCGCTGGAGAGGAGAACAAAACAAGATTTTATAAGGGTGTGGAAACTTTTCCGACGCGGTTTAAAGCCTTGAAGTAAGCCTGAGAGAGCAAAACTCAAAAAGACAATATGTATTAACGGTGGATCTGGGCCGTCACATATACATTAAAAGACGACCGAATAAAAAAGAAATTAATCTAGACTTATTAAAGAGGAGGAGAGAGAAAAGTGGGTCGGAGAGGAGAGAGAAAATAGGGTTTAAAAGCAAATTATTGAGAGTGATAAGAGAGAGATGAATAGTGAGTTTGAAAAGTTTACAAAGTGGAAGCAGCCAAAATCAGAAGATAATTAAATATTTTTAAAATAAAATAAAATAAATAAAATAAAATAAAATAAAAGGGTGTGTTCTGTATGTGTGTCGGTTACCCCTGAAACTGTCACATTACAGCTCATCTTTGCTACTAACCGACATTTCCTAAACCCTAATTTTACCCCTTTTTTACATAACTTAACCATCTCTTTATTTAACCATATATTATTACATCATCAAATCATTATCTTTTTTTTTAAATAATTAAATTTATTTTATTTGAATCTACCCACCAAACTCCGATCCTTAAATTAGTATCTGTTAGGAATCACGAACCACCAACGTCATTAAAAAAATATTTATTTTAATTTATAAAACATGCCCAAAATATGTCAAAATTATATTAAAAAATAAAAATAAAAGAAACATTTAGACGTTGTTATAATAATAATAATAAAGAAAGACTATAAGTTTGGTGTGTCCTACTCCTCTAATGTGTCATTTTCATATTTTTCGTTGATTATAAACTCAGGATCATTTTCTAAATTAGTCGATGTAGAACTACAAATAATATTATAATATTTTAAAAATACATAATATGTGAAATATCTATTTTTTTAGACATTTATTACAATTAATTTTACAATTTTTTTTTTTGGGAACGTGAAGGACGCTAAAGCTACGGTACCCACCGCGTTCCCTCATCTTTCCTTTTCACCTTTTTTCCAAAAGTATAAAACATAAAAACATTGTTTTTTTTTTTCTAAATATAAATTAAAAAATAAAATAATTCAATTTTATCGAATTAAAGACAAACCCTGACGGCCAACTTAATTAATTAAGAAAGATTTGAAATAATAAAATAATTAAGGTTATAAATAGACATATTAATAATTGCTTCTAAAATATTATTTAAATAAATACCCACAAATTTATTTAACCCAACCACTGATTCCCTCCAACAAATATCTTTGAACGTTTCTGATTTCTTTCCTTATCGTCATATATTTTTTTCCCTTTTAAAGGTAATTTAATAATTAACTACAACATTTTACCGCATGTAATTTTAAATTCATTTTCAACCCCAAAATAATAATAATAATAATAATAATAATAATAATAATAAAAGACTCTTAAATATTTTATTAATTAAAATACTTTTGCATTATATTAACGGCTGAATTTCAAAAGGATTTTTTTTTAATGTTAACGTTAATTTGTCATTTATTTCTTACGGTAATATTCTGTTTTACTCATCAAGTAGACTATTATTAAATAATATAATACAATTATCAATATTTTTATATTAAAAATAAAAATTCAATTTTTTTACCATTCGTAAAAGACAAATAATTTAATTTTTAAGTTAAATGTGGGTAAAAATGGTAGGTGTGGATAGTCAACTGGGGCAACACATTAAAAAAAAAAAGGAATGAAATTGAGAAACAAATTCCCATAAATTCATAAGGTTGAATGATTAAAAAAATAATTAAGAAATAATAATTTGTTTTGATTGGTTTCTTAATTTGGGTTAGGGCAGGCAGTGGTTGGGACACACAGTAAAAAAAACACAGTAAAAAAATTAAGAGCAGCCAAGCCAACC